CCATCCATTTACCTGCAAATGCCATGATTTTATTCTCTTTTACTGCTGAGTAAAATTCCATTGTGTATATATGCCACATTTTTTTATCCATTCATCCACCGAAAGGCATCTAGTTTGGCTCCACAGTTTAGCTATTGTGAATTGTGCTGCTAGAAACATTGATGTGTCTCTATAGTATACTGTTTTTAAGTCTTTTGGGTATAAACCAAGGAGAGGGATAGCTGGATCAAATGGTGGTTCCATCCCCAGATTTCCAAGGAATCTCCATACTGCTTTCCATATTGGCTGCACCAATTTGCAATCCCACCAATTTGCAATGTAGGAGTGTACCTTTTCCCCCACATCCTCGCCAACACTTATTGTTGTTTGTCTAAGCACCAAAAAAAACCCAAATAACCCAATCAACAAATGGGCCAAGGACCTGATCAGACACTCCTCAGAAGAGGATATACAATCAATCAACAAATATATGAAAAAACGTTCATCATCTCTAGCAATCAGAGAAATGCAAATCAAAACTACTCTAAGATATCATCTCACTCCAGTGTGCGAGTGTTTTCAACGTAGGACAGAAATAGAGGGTATAAGAATACAAGGATGAGTGAAAGAAACTGGATATAAGGAAGATTGGAGACTATTTGGTATTTAAAGTAAATATCATCTGGTATAGTAAATGTGTAAATTTGGACCAAATAGGGAAATGCGTGAAGACTTCTAGACCTTGGCCTTATTGGCTCTCGCCCTCTGGTTAATCTCTAGTTACCAGCTTTCTACCCTTTGGCTCCCCAACGCTCTTCAGAGCACCGTCCAAGCTGACCATCTTCACTTTCTTCCTTTCCCTTCTCTCTCCCCGCCTGTGATTTGCCTCTGACCGAGTCACTGCCCTGAAGTGGTTCAGGAAAAGGACTCCATGTCTTCCCATGATCAGGTGAGGGACTTCAGCTGTCTTCCTGTGGGCCCTCTGTTGCTGCTGACCCTGCTGGCCCTGTGCTCCTGGGAGCCCCTCTCTGCCACCACACCTTCCCTTCCTGCCCTGCTGGCTCACATTCCTTGTGACAGAGTTGGTCTCCATGGCCCAGGTGGCTCCCCGACTCCAGGTCGTCTCTAAACTCAGCACACACCTCTACAGGGGTCGCTAAGTCCCCACCCTTTCTCTAAGTTCAATTCCTCTCCCTGCTTATTTGCCATATTTCCTCATGTTTGTTTCCCTCTTTCCCTGTGGTTCTGTGAATTCTACAAACAAAATACCCTGTGGATTCAGAGTAATCCAATTCCTACTGAATTAAAAAAAAATTCCTTGAATTTCAAACAATTCCTATGAATGTTTTCCCCCCAGGGTTTGTATACACCCCCTCCACCCCCTGTCCTGGACTGCATTTCTTTTTACCAATGCAATCATGAAATCCAATTTAACGTTTTTCATTGAAAAGAGTCTTTATTTCTTATGTCCATAAAAATTACTGGACTGAAATCATTAACAGGCAGGAGGAACCCAGCAGCTGAGGAATGGTGTGGGAATTGAGAGGAGGTTTTCAGAGTGATTTCAGTCGCGCTCCACGCATCCCTAGGCTAGTTCCATGTTAGTTCCCTCTCATTTCTTTCTTTTTTTCTTTGCAGGGAGGTACAGGGGATTGAACTCAGATTGAACTGAGCACATCCCCAGCCCTATTTCATATTTAATTTAGAGACAAATTCTCATTGAGTTGCTTAGTGCCTCACTTTTGCTGAGGCTGGCTTTGAACTCAGGATCCTCCTGCCTCAGCCTCCCCAGCTGCTGGGATTACAGGAGTAGGCTACCATGCCCGGCAAGAAGATTCTTTTAAAAAATATATTCGTGTCATGATGTGTTGCAGGGCCTGATCTTGAACCCTCATGGAGGAATGCTTATCTTGCTCATTATGCAGCAGTGAAGTCCTAATATAGAAGGGAGCAGAGTGCTGTCAGAACACTGGCAAGCACCATTTCCTTGTTCCTTTCACAAGAAGTTATTCCCCTGTTGGTATAAGGCTGGCCTACATGGTAGTTTCTGGACTCTTGGTGTATGGATTCTGTAAAATATGTGGTGTATCACCTCTGGCCTATCATGACTGTTATATGTAAATTGGCATATATATATATATATATATTTTTCCTGTGCAATAAAGGAGACACAGTTCTCTGAAACCATCTCCAGAAGTGTTTCTCCATGCCCTCAAGATCCCCATAGTTGATGCTGGAAGGACAAACCCCTCAGCAATGATGCATTATTCTGATTTTTTTTTCTAAAGAGAGAGAGAGAATTTTTTAAATATTTATTTTGTAGTTTTCGGCAGACACAACATCTTTGTCTGTATATGGTGCTGAGGATCGAACCCGGGCTGCATGCATGCCAGGCGAGTGCGCTACCGTTTGAGCCACATCCCCAGCCCTCTGATTTTTTATTTTGACAAAATTCTTAACTTATTAACAGCCAGGAGGAACTGAAGAGCTGCCACGACACCTTTCCAATTTTATCATGGAAAAACTTGCAGAGTTGCATGATGAAGTAAATATAAGAAAGTTCATTTTCTGTATTAAAGAACATGACACAACAGTTGGAAAAACATTCAGACCATCCACATGTAAGAACAGAGACAGATCTCTAAGATACATTGTTTGTTAAAGCAAATTAAAGAGTAGTACATTCAATGCAAACATTTCTGTTGAAAACATGTATGTCCTTACTTTTGCAAAAAAAAAAAAAAATAGTAAACTAGACAACAATAACATAAAGTGACCTGAAGGACTAGGGCAGACAATTGGAAGGGGCGAGAGGAGAGGGAGAGCACTCACTTGAATTCACCTTTTTTATGTGGTGTTACATTTTGGAAGCATGTGAATGTTTTATAACAGTATTCAAAAATGGTGAGGAGAGCGGCCTGCCGGCATGGTAGACACATCACCCCAACTGGAGTAGAGGCAGAACAGAGCCACCTCCCGAATGCGGAACAGGCCCAGCGACCCGCCGGCACGGTAGACACATCATATCAATTGGAGGAGGGGCAGAGCAGAGCTGCCGCCCGCGCCTGCAAGGTAGGCAGACCTGTGACCGACTGGCAGAACAGACCTAGCGGCCCGCCAGCGTGATAGACAGATCACCCCAATTGGAGGAGGAGCACAGCTGCCACCCGCCCCTGCAAGGGAGATTTTTCAACTATAAAAGAGCAATATAAATATATAGGGGGAAAATTCAATAACACAACAGTTTCACCAAGCAGAAAGAAACGC